GTGAACTGAACTGAACGAGAGTGATCCTGGCTGACGAAAGAGCTCCTGCCATATGCCTACTCATCCCAAAAGAATACTCAGTGTTCCTCCAGGTTTCTGGGACTATCCTAAGAAGAGGACCTTCAGCCAGCAGCTTCCTCTATGTACAGAGAGCATCCAAGAAAGTTACTAAGCCACATTTGTGAAAGAAGCAAGCTCAGAGGCTCTCTGTGACTCATCTGATAGAAGGCCGCTGTAAAAATCCCCACAGTCAGCTTACTTATTAGGCAACTAAATTAAGTTACTCTAAAGCAGTGGTTCTCAACCTGTGGGTTATGACCCCTCTGGGGGTTACAGGCCCTTTCACAGGGGTCACATAAGACCATCTGCACTTCAGGTATTTACATTACGATTTATCACAGTAGCAAATTAGTTATGAAGTATCAATGGAAATAATTTATGGTTAGGCTGTCAACGCGATATGAGGAACTGTATTAAAGGGTAGCAGCATTAGGAAGGTTCAGAACCGCTGCTCTAAAGCGAAGCTAGAATGGCTCAGGCCAATCACATAGACTACTGGACCCTGAGTTAGAGCAATAGCACCAGGGCCAGAAAGAGCGAGGCCTCCATCCTGCCTTCTTCCCATGCACAGAACACGCCTCCCATGTTCTAAAGCATATACCTGGACTTTGTCTCTGCTTCCTGGGGTGAAGCCTCCAGGCCTTAGACTTTCCTGAGTGAAAGGAGTGCTAGTGATTCATGAGCCCCTAGGATCACGAATCTATGTATACTAAAGGATGAGATGACTCAAGCAGGAGCCAGCCACCAGAAACGCCAACCATGTGACAATGAGAGCAGGGCTATGAGCCAGCCCAACAATGGGGAGAGGAAGCTGTAAGCTGCAACCGGCCACAGTCTGGTACTCAATTATCCTGCCATAACGATGTCCCAGGAAAGGCTCTGCATGCTGTGCTCAGTGGAGCATCCGGTGGGAGAGCACGTGCGTAGGACACAGGAAGATGACACACCCTAAGTCCACACAGGAAGAGTGGAAGAACCGAGTTTGAGGTCCTCCAAGACCTTATTGTATGTATCTCTTTACTTAAACAGTGTTTAATTTGATTTACATTCTTTATAATTAAATCAATAGTAATAAATCTGGGGAGATGCCCCAAAGGATAAAATGTTTACTTCAAAGATCATTCAAGTGTCTAGAGTCCATGTAAAATTAGATACAGTAGCAACTCTTAGTACCCTCAGATGAGAGCAGAGTGAGGGGACTCCCCAGAAGCCTAGAGGCTAGCTACCCTGTCAGAGTGGAGAACAGGAGACCCTGTCTCAAAGACTGTTGGAAGGTAAAGTCAGAAAAGATTGTTTTCTGACCTCCACAACTATATCACAGGGTGCATGAGTCCACATGCACACACATATGTGTTCTTAAGAGCTCTCTGGATTTTTGGCCAGTCAGTCAAAATCATAAATGACCTGGAACCCCACACAGCAGGCACAGGAAATGGGTGGTGAATCGATCATCTTGGTAGAGCCTAGTCCCTTTGGCAGATGGGGTCTGCATAAATCCAAGGGGATACCAGATTGAACTGTAGTAAGAGTAAGAACACCCCTTGTCCACATTCAGTCCGTATAGATGCCACATGCCAGTGTAAGGAAACACCAATTTTATCTGCAAAAGATTATGGCCAATTATTTGTGGCCAGAAATCTTCCCCCTCTTAGTAACAAGAGCTAAAATGTTGGGACATGTCTGTGGTACTCAAACTCAGTTATCAGTGTGATGAGATCTAGACTCAGGAGAAAACAGGCCTTTGAGCATGCCTGTGGGGGACTATATGGTTAGGCTAACTGAGGTGAGAAGATTTACCCACTATGGGCGGCACCATTCCCTAGGTTGGGAACCTGGACTCAACAAAAGACAGCGAACTGCGACCCAGCATTCCCTCTGTTTCCCGAGTAGGGATGCAAGCTCCTGCTGCTACACCTTCCCCACCACCCTGGGGTCATATCTTCAAACCGGGGCCAAAATGACTTCTTACTAAGCTGCCCTTGTCATGGTATTTTTAACCCAATAACAGAAAAATCAACATCGTTCCTCAGAGACAGTTGCAGGATTTTCTACATATAGCAATTGTCACAGCAATCTGTACGGAGAGGTAACTGCTATTCCTGTCTTACAAATGAAAAGACAAAAGGCCCAGAGAAGCAAAGGGACTTACCCAAGTGAGTTACAGGGTGCCAGTATTCAAAAGCAGCTTTCCCGTCTCCGGTAGTGACGGTCAGGCTGTGACTACTGGCAGGCCACCCCTCCGAAGACCCACAGACCCCTGCAAGCCCATGCTCTGCCCATTCCCCCCAACACACACTCCCCACCAGCTCACCATTCTTAACATGACCACAACTGATGGCCTATGTGTCCCTGAGGAAGAATGTGTGTTTTGCGATGATAAAATGACCCTGCTTAAACTAGAGCCCAGGAAAATAAATTCTGGGAACACAGCACTGGGGGAGGCTAACTGTTTCTCTGAAAATGTCTTCCAACAAAAATATAAATTACCAACCGGATGTAAATGGAAGTGACAAGTTTCACTGCAGGGAGCACAGAGATCCCAAGCCCTCCCCTTCTCTCTCCAGGGTCACCTCACTCCCAGCGCAGAACCTCTCCATAGCTACCTCTCCTCAACTCCTCTTATTATTCAAACTTCAAAGCATCCAAACACTTCGCTTTTGTGATTACATGATAACACAGTTCTGTGTTTTTGCTGTGTTGAGTGCAGCAATTAAAGACTCAGACAGTTGAGGTGGTAATTTTTCAAATAAAAATTATACACTTGGAGCTAGGGCTATGTCTCAGTTGGTAGGGTGCTTGCCTAGTATGTAAAAAGTCCTGGGCTGTAGCCTCTGTACCACAGAAAACCATCCTTACCTGCCTAGACAGGAAGTTCAAGGCCACTGTGGCCTAGGAAGTCAGACTTTGTCTCAAAAAATAAGGAGAATCACACTCAGAAGCCATCCATTGTTCTTAAACAGTTCAAGAAGAAGACCAGGGTTTCACATTCAAAATTAAGTAAACTATCTTCTGCGAGCTACAATATCCTTTGTTAAACATTACACCCAGGGTTCTTACATCCTGTTTTAGATTTTGATGATAACATTAAAATCCTTCAGGGCTGGGAAGATGGCTCAGTGAATAACAATGCTTGCTACCGAGGCTGACAACAGGAGTTTGAGCCCTGGGACACACACGGCAAAAGCAGAGCCCGAACTCCTGCAAGGCAGCCTCTGACCTCCACACGCAGACCTCGGTGTTCAAGTGTTCACACACAGATGATAACTAAAACATGCTTTACAAAATGAAGCCGACTGGTCACCCAGAATCACAGAAGGGGGAAAACCCCAATTCTGCACCTTTGCCTTTAAACTCTGCAGTTACTGCTTATTTTGCAAACCCCCATCTCAACATACAGCAGGGTTGTCTCCTTAGCCCGGAATCTGCAATGTGGGCTAGACTGCCTGTTAGTGAGCCCCAGGGATCTGTCTGCCTCAGGTTCCTTAGCACTGAGCTCTTTAAAAGAACCTTCAGGTTCTTATAGAGATTTATTTTATTTTTAATATGTATGTTTATTTATAATATGTGTATTTTAATATGCATTCATGGATACTTTTATGTTTAGTACATATATCCGTGTGTTTATACACTTGAAAGCAGTTGCCAACAGAGGCCAAAAGGGGGTGTCAGGTCCCCTGGACCTGAAGTTATGTGTAGTTGTGAGCTGTGAATGCTGGGAACCAAACTCAGGGCCTCTACTAGAACAGTATGCAGTCTTAACCTCCCAACAGCTGAGCCATCTCTCCAGCCCCACACCTAGCTTCTTTCCCTGTACCCCATGTGGTGTCTGGAGCTGTAACTTAGGTCTTCAAGCTTGCAGGGGAGGTCGGTACTTTGTAACTAGGCATCTTCCCAGCCTGGGTGTCCAACTTTTGGACATTGCAATATGATGCTGTCGTCTGCAAACACATCGGGCTGCATTCATACCCATCCTAGGGCACATGAGACCTTAGGCCAAAGGAAGACAGGCCTGTGAGTGCCACCGGTTCCCATTATAATCGCATGGCAGAGAGATGTGGCTTCTGCCTCTGAGCAGCATTCCCCAAACACAGTCTTTCACATATTCACTAGTTCAGGAAGAGATCCACGTTCAAAGTCTGCAGAATGGTTACAGCATCCACTGAATACGCACGGCTTTTGTGCCACCACCCAGTCAGAACCTCATTAGGATGAACCCCTGAACCAAAGACGCTGTGGTACCCATGGGTACCTAGAATGACAGTTACTGAGAGCAGCAGTGACTGAGCACTTGGACCTAAAAGACATTTTCTCTTTCAAAGGTACACATGACCACTGGCTTTGTTCGGAATCGCCCTAATATTGTTGCACCCCCGAGTCTCCCCTAATCTTACTTCTTTCATTCTGACTGTCGGGCCTCTCTGAATTAAGGGCAAAGAAAGGCTTTTGCTCTGTGTTCTGTTCGTTTCCGTGGGACGAGGAAAGGTGCACTTATGGATACTACCACCGTCAGCTTTCTCTATCCAGCCCAGTCACCACCACTGACGCTCACCGTGGGCCCCTCCATCTGTGCCTGCACAGCGCAGCCACCGCCCCCTCCACTTAGTGCTATTTACTCTTTAAAGACCCAGAGGAGTCACTACCAACTCACAAATACCTGGATTGCTTTCTCCCCCCTAAACACAAATGCAGTCTGTGGCACAGGGCCAGTTCTTTCCCACAGACAGCAAGGCCACTCTGGGCTCTGATAGCCGGCACGGTCACTGGCCATCAATTTTGCAGACTCCACTCTCTGTCCAAGTTTTTATCATGTCTTACCTCAGTGAATAAAATGTAACCACGAGGCCTGTGTGATAGCTAGCTTTCAAACACAGTCCGGGGACACCGCTTCGGGGAGCCGCCACAGTGGGATGGGCCTTCCTATATCAACTAGAGATCAAGACATTGGATCTTGGCAGTGTGTCAGCTGAGGGTTTTCACTCATAGAACGCTAGGCTGTGTCCAGTTAACAGTTAAATAAAACTAGGACAGTTTGTCTCAAAGCGTGAGATGGATGCTGCCTGAAGAAAATGCCTAAAGTTAACCTCTGACCCCACAATCAGGTGTAGACACACACACACACCATATACAACATACACACCATATACACTCACATGCACACATCATAAACACACATGCACACACACACCCGCACATGCCATACACATATGCGCACACACCATACACACACGTGCATATACCATGCACACAAGTGCGCGCACACATGCACATGTCATACACATATGCACACACATATACACACATGTGCACACCATACACACACACAACATACACACACATAACATACACACACATACATACACCACACGCACCATACACACACACACAGGCACACTCATGCATGCACACACACACATGCACACACCATACACAAAAAGGGGTCTAGTTGGAGGTCTTCAGGTTGCTCAGGAATTGCCCTCAAAGAAGACTGAAGGTATACCATGTAAGGTATGCCACCATTTCTCCTGTCACCCTTTGGCATCGTGGCCATGAGGTAAGCATAATGTGCTACCACAGTATGCCACCTCACCACAGGCCAAACTCACAAGGCCAACCAACCATGGGCTAATGCCTCCAAAACTGTCCAAATAACTATTTTCTGCATGGGCTGGTGTATCATGGGCATCTCTTAGATGGATGGGTTGCTTCTCCATGTCAGCAGAGACACAACAACAACACGTGGAGGAAGAGGGTGAGTCACTCCGCCACCTTCAAGGGAGGTCAACTATGTTCCTATTTGGGGCCATCCATGTCTGGAAAGGCCGTGTGCTATATCTACCGAAGGCTATTTAAAGGATGATAAGAAACATAAAGCCATCTAGGATGTGACTTTCACGTTATAAATGTCAGTGGCAGTCACGTCTGCTGCTTATGGATCTCTTCCAACACCAAACTGACAACAGCCCGAACCAGCGACTTCGGGGGAGGCTGACGGGAGGCTGCTCTTTCGGTAGTCGTGTTTGGTAGAGCCAAGAGGCCCTGCAAGGTAGCTCAGTAGTCGTGTTTGGTAGAGCCAAGAGGCTCTGCAAGGTAGCTCAGTAGTCGTGTTTGGTAGAGCCAAGAGGCCCTGCAAGGTAGCTAACTATGGCACACCAAAGTTGGGGCGGTGACAACTTTAGGTCATAGAAATACACATCCCAGGAATCCTACATGACGCCAATACATCTGCCAGTCTCATGAAGGCTGCCAAACCCACACAGTGGGAGAGAAGAGAACAGGACGGAGATGCGGACATTTCCAGACAAAATAGTATAGAAAATGCAAAATAGACTGTTTCATTTAGCCCAGGCTGTCCTCAAACTCACGAAGTAGCTGTGGATGACTTTGAACTCTCAATCTTTCCGCCTCCACCTCCAGAGTACCAGAATTACAGAGAGTCACCTCAACACCCAGTATATACAGTAGTGGAGACCAAATCCGGGGCTTCCTGCATGCTAGGCAAACACTACCAGTGGAGTCAGATCCCAGCCCGACATTCATCTCTAAGCTAAGCTACCCTATTGGAGAGGAGAGGCAATGTGCCCAGCTCTGCCTTCCCCAAGGCTAGCCTACTGTCCCCAGCTGCCATCCTTGAAAGCACTCAACAGACTGCCTACCAGATACCACTAAACCAGTTTCATGGGGAGTAAACCCTGAGGATAGCTTGCTTGGTTTCCAGATCCTGCGATGTTTCTTGTTCTCATTTTTTAGAAGGCTGTGGGCATTCAAAATGCTTGCTGTGTTTTAGAATAAAAGAAAAAAAAATCTAGGTCCTTAGAGATTCAAAACCTCTTTGAGCTTCCTATTTCCCTGATTTCTCCCACAGGGATGGAGTCTCAAGGTGACAGCCAGAGAGAAACTACAGATAAAAGTCACACGGTCACATGACTTCTTTAGCGCTAACTTTAATGCTGTTATTCACATTAAGTCATTCTTCTGAGGGCATCGCCTGGTTGTTTTTGTTCCTGTGATGTGGTTAGAGTCTGAGTGTGTTCAAAGACCCGTGTACATAAAAGAAATAAGAATTATAAATGCCCAATGCTGCACTGCATTGGCCCCATAACCTTGACACCCAGTCCTCTCAGCCTGTGATGCCCACATGTTCCACTCCAAGTTTACCAAGGTAACTAACATTCAGGAGGAACCCGGAGCACCACGGGGGATCCAGACAGTTGAAACAAATACTTAGCAAATTATTTTCTCTACAAAATAGACAACATATGGAGGTCAAGGAAATAAACTCCTTCCGCAAGGGTTTCTCATATCGCCAGAGTTCAGATAAGGTTCGACCATTCTGTGTGCGAGTGCACATGGTATATTCAATCATTCTGTGTGTGAGTGTACATGGTATATGTGTGCAGTGGGAGCAGTGGGTATATGTGTGCTAGGAGTACATGAGCCCATGTGCACACAAGGAGGCCAGGAGGGCAGCAGGTGCCCTGCTCTCTCATCCCCTGCCTTATTCTCTTGAAACAGGGTCTCTCACTGTACCTAGAGGTAGGCTGGCAGCCAGCAAGGCCCAGCAAGCCTTTGTGTGTCCCTCAAAGCACTGGGGTTATTTATGGGCCTATGTGTGGCCATTCCTAGCTTTTGAAGAGGGTGCTGGAGATTTGAACTCAGGTTCTCGCCCATCTTCCAGTTCTCAGGTTATACTATCTTTAGTATACTTTTTAGTATACTTTAGTATACTTTTTTAGTATATCTTTTCTACTTCAGTGGCTTTACATGGAGTCCTATCATAATCCACTGAATCAGCCCTGGATTTGGCTGCTTCTGAAGGGGCCAGGGCTTCCTTAGAATGAGTGGCTTCGATCGTATTGAAAATTCACCAAAGTCCCTATTTGGTAAAGATTACAAGAAGTAACAAATAGACTCCTGTTAATTCTATAGAGATAACAACACATGTCTGCACAATTAGCCTGACAGCTATAGTCTACTCTCTACCTTAACTAGATGGCCAGAGATGTCCCCTCAGGATTATAGGTATCAAGGGGACACCCACAGGTCTCTGGAACCAGTGTGTCTCTATTTGGCTTTATTGTTTGTGTGTGTGTCATGTGTGTTGGGTTGTGTTAGATGTATATAAATGTATGAGTATTTCTTTTTGAGACAGGATTTCATGTAGCCCAGGTTGGCCTCCAACTCTGTCCATATTAAAAAGTGATTGAACTTCTGAGCCACCTGCTCCCCACATTGTGAGAGCTGGAACTACAGGCACACACTACTACCTGGGTCTTTATGCAAGGCAAAGGATGGGACCCAGGGCTTTAAAAACGCTAACTTGGCTACATCCCCGGTCCAGTATCTGTAATTTTTTAATGTTTCTAAATGATAACATTTGACACAAATTCTTGGTCCTCTCTCTCTTCCAAGGGCAAATATTGTGATCTCTGTGCTCAGGCAGGAGGCAGAGTTGCCGACTGCAGCACTTACATGGTCTAACGGACCTTCCTCTGAAATCCACTTTCTGGGAAGAATCACTCGTCAAGGAAAAGGACAAAACCAGCTTTAAGTTCCTCCATGGAAGGGCGTGAGTCACTGCTCGGAGAGGCTGTCAAAGAGCTTGTCTGACCTGTTTCTGACGTTTGGAACTCAGCAGCATAAGAGGGAGAAGCTCTCCTCGAAGACATGAGAACACAGGGAACAACTCAGGGGGAAAGAACATCCCTTGCAGTTGTGAAGACCCACCTATCACCCCAGGAGTGATGGTGGGTGCCTGTAACCCCGGAGATGATGGGAGGGGGAAGATGGGGACAGGCAGATCCCTGGGGCTTGCCGGATAGCCAGCCTAGCCTATCAGGCAAAGTTCCAGCCAATGGAAGACTCTGTCTCAGAGAAAGATGGGCACTGCCTGAGTTTGGCAGAAACAAAGGTACTCTTGGTACGGAAGGGGTACCTACACATCAAGTCTCAGCAGGCACTGAAGCGTTTACCAACTCCAACACAGCCTAGACCATAATAGTATCTTACCACACATGGTTCTAAGCACACACAGAAACAAGCTCAGAATGGCTCTGTCACATAGTCAGAGGAGCTGGCAAAGGGAGACAGAGACAACCCAATTCCAAGCCTGCTCCTGCAAATACAACATATTCCTTGCAGCTGTTTCACCTTGCAGCATTAAAAATGTCTTTAGAGTCTGGAGAGATGACTCAGTAACTAAGAGAGAGAGAGATTGCTGCTCTTCTAAAGAATCTGAATTCAGTTACTGTCACCCACAGCAGGCAGCTCACAACCAGCCACCTGAAACTCCAGCTCAGGGAGATCTGACTCCCTCTTCTGGCCTCCCTGGGTACTACACTCACATGCACAAGCTCACACAAAGACATACACACATGCATAATTTTAAAATGAAAAAAACAAGTTCTCCTTAGAAAAGTATCTAGTAATACTGTGTGCTTCTGATTTGGTTGAATTTTTCCCTTTGTAAAAAAAAATTTTAAGAAGGAGCTAGAGTGTAGCTCAGTAAAGTGCATGCGTGAAACCCTACATTGGATTCCCAGAACCACATGAAATGGGACCGGTGGTGCATGCCTATAAACTCAGCACTCTGGAGGCAGAGGCAGGAGGATCAGAAGTCTATGGCTATCCTCAGCTACATAGTGAATTTGGGACCAGCCTGGGATACATGAGACTCCCTGAAACACACATCCCAAAACAAACTAGGTGAGAAGATGAAAACATGTCTGTAAACACACACACACACACACACACACACACACACACACACACACACAGAGAGAGAGAGAGAGAGAGAGAGAGAAAGAGAGAGAGAGAGAGAGAGAGGTTCTGATATCCAAGAGATATCTCCTCAGAGAATTATAACAACCAAGGCCTTCTATAGGAAGGAAGGGAGTGAAAAAAATCTGACCTCACTCCCCCACGCACATACATAAACCAACTGGTTAAGT